TTGGGACGCAACGTATAGCGCCTGACGTCACTGCGTATTTGCACGCACGCATTTTTTTTCTTTTGGTTCTACTTCCGTGCCCATATTTGGCAATAAAATAGATCAGTTGTTCTGCCTCCATGGAAACAGCAGAGTTTTCCCGGAAGATCTGGCAGAAAGAGAGAGAGGGGCGAAGCTCTCTGTATGTTACGGGAACTGTTTTGTATCTTTCAGGACTTCAGTTGGGTTTCCAACGTACATTTTAAGCATTTACATACGTTCATATATAACGAACAGTCCGTTTCTTATAAAATGGCCTCTGCTCTGTTTGCAAAGTTGTAATATTTTCGATGAAAACATAGGTAAGGTATGGCTAAAACCCTCTTGCAGTGTAGTAACTGGTTGCGAAAGCAATGTCAAAAACTGACTGCTGTTCAACTGAGCATTTAAACTCGTGTTTTTTGAATTAAGCACTGCTTATAAGAACTAACTTAAATTAATTATAGCAATGTTTTTGTGTGTGTTTGATTACCTGCAGTATACAGTGAGTCCAAAAGTCCAAGGCCATTAGTGAAAATGCTTATTTAACAAGAATTAATAATTAATTAGTTTAATAACAATTAAAATATTTACTTTAAATTGTTTAATCAAAAAAAATTTTTTTGTGAGAATTTGAACTGAAAAACTCACTTTTTCATATGTAGTATTCGCAGTTTTTAGTATCCTTTATTTTTTTTTTTAAGTTTTAAATAAAAATGACACACACACACACACACACATATATATATATAATTTCATTATGATCTCAAGACAGTTAAACCCCGTCACATGACACATTTCTTTATGTTTTCAAATAACTTGAAATAGATTATTATTAGTAGCCTATTCCACAATTGCTTATATTATAACATGGCTCAGTGTTCACCCGTATCATTGCTCAGACTATAATTCAACGCTCAGACAGACTGTAATATGAGCAGAATGAAATCTGTCTTCTGCTGCAGGTGAAGCTCTGTTTCGCCACACAAGCACCTCAATATAGAGACACACGGCTCATATCCACACACCGCCGCTGCTGCTGCTGTTGGCAATGTTTACAGCGTGTTCTTGGCACAAACACAATGTAAATATTTCATGTTGGCCACTGTTAAAATGCAAAAGGATAAAAAAAGGGAACCTGATGGACAGACAGACAGATGATGGTCAGTCGATTGACGTTCAGCTTTTGATTAGTCAACATGTGCCGTGATGATTCAACTGGCCAAAATAAAATTATGTCGGCAGGATTTCCTCTTTTTTTGCATGATTCAGGTTGCAGATAGTGAAGTTTATAGTCATCTGGATATCTGGTGTGCCGGATGTTCTTTGTTTTTCTTCTCATACATTTGACTTAATATTTTTAAGATGTTGCAGATTGTATTTAAATCCACACGCTCATTTGTATTAACACAGCGATTAAATTAAATGTTGATTCTTTGTACAGAATCACAATGCAACTATCATGCACACAGCAACTTGTATGCAGAGACATTATAAACCCGCAATATTTTGCTCTAGGAAATCTTTTGCAAATAAAATCAACAGTACTTTATATAAATGTGGCAGGTTGAAAGCACTGCATATTTCTGATAATGCAGCATTATATTCTGTTTAAGCACATGAATAGTGAATAAATGTTCATCGTCCATAACTGATTTGTGATTGTGCATTTCCAAATGACTGTATTTCCAATTATATTATATTTCCAGGGTCGGAAATGGGCTTGTGTTTGGAGCAATGTCTGGTTGCTGTTTGGTTTAAGTTTATCATTGTCTTGAGTTTATTAATATGATCGTGAAATGCAGAAGTGTGGTACTCAGCATTGCTCATCGGGATTTGAATGTGTGCGTACAGTCATTGAAGGAGGAATCATATCTCATCACGTTTTATGCCTTTTTAACTTTTTGCCCTTAAAAAAGGGTAGACAAGTTTGCATTCCTGCACTTTTGGTGTGATAAATCTTTACAACGAGACACATATTGTGCATTAAATGTAACTAAAGACTGAAAATCCCAGGCCTTATGAATCCTGATGACTCTTCTGATGAAACAATAATGCTGTCGGACAATAATTGTGGAAGAGGAAGTTTGTGTGTCAGAGGTGAGGCACAGAGGTGATTGTGTCTGCGGTCAGTCTGTCTGTATATTTCAGTGCATGCCAAAATATCCAGGTTGGATTGTTTAATCATAAATATGTATAAACCATACTTGGCTGTAGATTAAAAAAAGAGATGCTCATTAAATGCCCATTTTATTAGACGGATTTCTCTCTCATGTGTCTGTGGGTGCGATCAGAAATACATTGTGTAGTTAGTCTCTCATTATTGCAAAATATTATTTTATTATTTCAGATGCATTCAGTTATATGGACCAACGGCCAGTTATACGGTTTATTTGACCACAGACTGCCATGACTGACCAATCAAAACCCAAGTATGTGAGAGAGCCGTATAATAAGATGATATATTACAGATGGTGAGCTTAACTTATGTCTCCACAAAGCAGCTTCAAAGTCTTGAAGTCTGGCTCAAATGAAATAAAGCAGATACTGAAAGCCATATTTGTTTTGGGCATTTTTCACTGCAGATTTGATTGGAACTGTAAATCAGTACAGTAACATTTAAATCACTCTACCTTAAAGAAGGTTAGTAATAAACTCATATACTGCTAAGTTTGCTATGTAACAGCTTGTAGATATCGCATTGGACCTGTAAGAAAGTGTTATACAACAGGATAATGCCTTAGTCATATTTTCTCTTGAGGGTGTGAAAACTTGTTTAAGCTACTTTGTCAAATGCACAAATATCTCCATATAGTATTTAGGCCTAGACATTTTAGCCACACATGAAATGAATGTCGTTGTATAACAAAATGTCAAAGCGTGTCCCTGTATCTGTGCTCATTTGATACAAACTTCACTTTTCAAAGACATCTTGCCTTCTCCCACCTTTTTCATTATATTTGTTTTATTTTTAATCATCTTAACATTAAAGTGTGAGCTCAGTTTCCCTCAAGTTCAAACAGGTGTTTTAGCAGAGAAACCGCAGGTGCAGTTCACACCTGCGCTTCACAACCACAGACCGTCACAAGTATTTTATCTTCATTTTCAACAACTAGTTGTTTTTTATCACTTTTGAGAAGTTTTCTGCTTGAAGCGCACTTGTGCTTTGTTTCTGTAAAATGAATGCCATTAGTTTGATATTCTGTTATACAAAGACTTCCGGTCTGTATTCGATATTCTGTACTGTATTACACCGTAATTTGAATATAAACATCTTTATTGAATATTTGTAAAATTGATATTTTATTTTGTGACATAGCCTGAGATTTCAAATTGAGGGCCATGAAAATGTTCCAAGAAAAACAGTGTATTAACTCAAATACATTTGATTAAAACGTATTTTAAAAATTAATAAAAAGATTAATGCATAAATAATTATTAAATAAATAAATAGCAATAAAAAAAAATAAACAGTATCTAACAAAAACAACAAAACTAACAAAAAAGCTGTAGGATTTACTTATAAACCATTCTCACTCAGAAATCGCTACATTTCACAAAGAATTAAAAACACATAGCAAATATCACATTGAATTAAATGTGACATTTTGAAGAAGAGAGACTATAAAGAAGTATAGAGAAGTATTTTCTCGTTAAACACACTCCTAAAAAACAGCTGAAACCATAAGCTCCAGCCTGGTCATAGCTTGCAGACTAGTTTTAGAGGGGTTTTGATCACTTCTTTAGCTGGTCACACCAGGTTGGGAGACCACGTGACTAAAACCAGCTGGAAGACCAGCATAGACTGGTTTTAGCTGCAGGGTTGCAGTCTTCGTTTATTTACAAGTTCATAAAATCATTTTTACAGCGTATAAACAAATGTAATAATGTTACATAATAGAAACTAAACATTTTCCAAATGATAGGGCTATTTTACGGATAGCCTACCAGTCAAAAGTTTTTGGACAGTAAGATTTTTAATGTTTTTTAAAGAAGCCTCTTCTGCTCACCAAGCCTGCATTTATTTTATCCAAAGTACAGCGAAATCAGTAAAATTTTGAAATATTTTTACTATTTAAAATAACTGTTTTCTATTTGAATATATTTTAAAATGTAATTTATTCCTGTGATTTCAAAGCTGAATTTTCAGCATCATTACTCCAGTCTTCAGTGTCACATGATCCTTCAGAAATCATTCTAATATGCTGATTTGCTGTTCAAGAAACATTTTATTATTTTATCAATATTCAAAACAGTGGAGTACATTTCTTTTAGGATTCTTTGATGAATAGAAAGATCCAAAAATCAGCATTTATCTGAAATAAAAAGCGTTTGTAACATACACATACACTACACTATACCATTCAAAAGCTTGGTGTCAATGTAATATATATATATATATTTTTAGAAATGATAGAAATTAATTATTTTATTTAGCAAGGATGCTTTAAACTGATCAAAAGTGATGATAAAGACATTTATAATGTTACAAAGAAATTCTATTTCAGATAAATCCTGTTCTTCTGAACCTTCTATTCATCAAAGAAACCTGAAAAATTCTACTCGGCTGTTTTCAACATAATAATAATAATAATAATAATAATAATAAATGTTTTTTTGAGCAGCAAATCAGAATATTATAATGTACTTACTGTCCAAAAACTTTTGACTGGTAGTGTATTTAGAATAGAATTCATTTTCTAAACGTCTTGCAGATGTCTGCGCAGCTTGATTCGTTTTTTCGTGGGTCGCGTACTGAAACCCGAGTTTTCCTGAAGCTTCATTACAGAAAGATAAACACATGAGCTCATCATATTGTGTTGTTTGTGTGTTGATGGGATATCCCGCGTCGGTGGCTTCAGGGAGTCCCGCGCTGCTGTGTTGTGTGTTGTTTGGTTGCTAGGGGGCGGGGCCTAGCGCCTCATTCGCTCTTATTTTATAACGTCTGCTGGCATCACGCGCGGAGAGTTCCGCATTCCACAGCGCCCAGCGATACATAAACGCGCTGATGCAACGGGACCAGACGCGCAAACGAGCTGAACGGAGGCACCCAACTCTCAGCACCGAACAAGTAAGTGCTTTAGTCTGCTGGTATTATTATGCATTTACACTGTAATCACAGATTTGAATTCGTTGTAAAGGTCGAACATACGGATTGAATAAACTGCTGCACTTCAGATGATTTCATATTTATATAGAGACAGAACTGCATTGACAGTGAGATACAGGCTACTAATAAAACCTAGGGATGAATTCAATTATATTCATGCATCACTGATGTTCTGAATGTATTTTCCGTAACAGCCAGGTTATTTAATGCACACTGAAGTACATTATGTACTTGAACTGTATTGTTGTGCGCAGCGTTTTCAACCAGGGGTCCATTAGAGACTTTTAAATGTGATACATTCATGATTTAATACCTATTATAGAAGGTGGAAATATTTTTTTTAAAGTTATTTAAGAAAGTCGTCTATTATTTTTGAAAATCTTGCTTTTTTATATCAGGGGTCCCTGGTTTGCCTGAGGGTCTTGACGGGGCCCCTGAGTGTTGAAGTTTGAGAGCCCTGGTTTAAATGGCTAGACAATGTCAGAGAGTTTTATAAGTTAGTCTTGCAGTTATGCAACAACATTTTCAAATGCTCATGTTTTTATATATGCATTTTTATTATTTCAACATTATATTTGTACTTTGCAATTATTTTGTCACACAATTGAAGTCAGCTGCAAAACACCTAAAAGCTTTTTCAAATACTGAGCATTTACTGCACCTGAACAATAGGCTATTTTTATTAATGAACGTACTTTCGTCCTAATTGTTTCTTAATGTTGAAAAGTGTTCTTTTTTTGAACTTCTAATAGTCAAATGCAAAAAGAAATGCTAAATTGTCTCCAGTGTTGCAAAAAAAAGAGAGAAAAAGAACAATTTGCTTTCAATCTTAGATATCATCAGTATCAAATGTGTTTTTCTGAAGAACCTTGAAGAATGTAGCCAGAAGCTGCTGCGAATGGCTTGAGGAGTTTTTCAGGATAGAAACATGTTTGACTGTTACATCATCTTCTAATGGCCTTTACAGACAATTCACTAGCTCTTTTAAGCCTCGGTTTTAACATGCGTAGGTGTTGTTTGTGCTCTTGGGAATCTTGAAGTTTCCCTATAACTCTGTGAGAAGCAGATTTACAGAGTTTGTGTTCCTCTCATGGAAACTTCATTATTCTCTGTGGCTTTCCATTGGAGACAATATACGCATTTTGACCTATCAGTCCTTGTTAAACTTATTCCAAAGTAAACACTCTTCTTAAACTTGTGAAAAAAGGTCACACTACTAGTGTTTTCTTTAACCCTCTTGTAGTTGTCCAGTCATTTTGACCCTGAGAGGATTTTCTTTTTACTGAAAATGCTAGTTTATGTCATTGCATTGGACTAAAACCTATACTGACTTTGCTTAAACACGGTATAACATCTTCCTAAAAAATAATTCTTGCACTTTTTAGGATTGGCCTACAAGAAATTGCTTATAAATGCTTATATATTATAGCATATGTGACCCTGGAGCACAAAACCAGTCTTGAGTCACTGGGGTATATTTGTAGCAAAATTTTTGATTAGTAATATGCATAGCTAAGAACTTCATTTGGACAACTTTAAAGATGATTTTCTCAATATTTAGATTTTTTTTGCACCCTCAGATTCCAGATTTTAAAATAGTTGTATCTCAGCCGAATATTGTCCGATCCTAACAAACCATACATCAATGGAAAGCTTATTTGTTCAGCTTTCAGATGATGCATACAGCTAAATTTCACAAAATTGACACTTAAGACTGGTTTTGTGGTCGAGGGTCACATATATAAAAGCACCATATAAATATCGCATAAAATCATTTTGTGCATTCAGCTTGTTTTCTTTCAGTTAGCACAGGTTTTGTAGCTCATATAGCTCATTGATCTGATTGAGTTTATGCACCTCAGTTTTTGAGAGATTATTGCCAAAATGATCCACAAATAATGCTTTTTTGACTCAGATCACCGAGGCCTACAATCAATCAGTTCCAAAAAGAAACACAAAACCTGTGCTAACTGAAAGAAAACGAGTCAACAAAAATATTGAATCCAAGACTTGGTGATAATCTAAATCTAAAGGATTTTCAGGAAAGAACAATTCATACTATTTGCAGTTGCACTTGTATGTGTAAATGCACTTTAAGATGATCAACAGAAGCGCTGACATCTCTCTCTGCTTTCTTTCTGAAGCAGCAATGATGCCTGGTCAAATCCCTGATCCACTGATGACGGCCGGTTCTCTGCCCAGCGTCGGTCCTCTGGCTGGCATTCCTGCCACCAGCCTGACAGACCAGCTCAAACTAGCAGAGCTCTACAGCCTCGGGGCGGTTCTGTCTCCTCTCATCCTGAACAGACACGCCAAGAGACCGTTCGACGTCATCAAGGGTGAGGTGAGAACAAAACATGACATTTAACACCTACAGACATTCAAGGCCAGGTTCTGATTGCATCTGGTAACTCAAATCGCAGATTGCATGTTACGTGTTACTAAAAAATGCAGACAGGTTAAGTAGTTCAAAACATATGTGCAACAGCTGAGAAAGTGAAACCAATGTTCTTTTGTTTGAGAAGCTTCTTTGAAAGTGCTTTACTGCCTGGTCAAGAGGGACACCTGGTGGACACAAGAGTTACGATTTGTTTATGTTTCTTTGAAATGGTTCAGTTTATCTAAACATACTGTGCATTCTAATAACAAATATAAAGCCATTAAAAATTGCACAACACATTTTTTCATGCAACTGATTTTTAATGACGTTTTAAAACCATGTACACACTTTAGTGTCATTTGATTGTGTATAAATGAGTACGCATATATCTAAACGAACACATTGGAACTTTCTGTCCACAGACAGATGACGATGAAGAACGCAAGAAAAGAAGGCGAGAGAAGAATAAAGTCGCAGCCGCTCGCTGTCGAAACAGAAAGAAGGAAAGAACAGACTTCCTCCAGAAGGTGAGTTAGAAAATGTACAAAAGCCCGTTTGAGGATTTATTATCAGTCACTGAGGGGAAAGGAAAAGAAAATAAGAGTCAAACTTAATTTTACAGTGTTCTTGTTACACTTATTACGTGTTACTATTATTAATGACTATAGCAGCAGTGGTTGACATGCAATTTCAAACAATTTCAGCAGTTTACTGTGGTGTAACATGCTAAAAGTTATTTTATATATCGTTCATTAAAAACTCCTGATGCTTATGTAATTTTTATGCATGCATTTTTTCTTTTTTTATTATATTAATTTAGCAATTATATTGAATATTTTGTGCTTTTAATAATTAATTTGTTATATTGCAGAACTTTAAAATGAACTTTAAAACAATTTTATTAAAAAAATATTTAAAATTACATTTTATTAAAATCTAATACTTGTGTAATTATGCATGCCATTTTAATGTTTTTTTTTTTTTACATTTTTCTTTATATTAATTGAGAGTTAAAAACTATTTGAAAGAATATGATGCTTGTGTAATTATAATGCATGCCATTTTTTTATTAAATTACTGTCTTTTAATTTTTTATGACAACTTAGATTTCATGGGATATTTGTGCTTCAAAACCATAGACTGTATAAAAACATGGACGTAGTGTCCGTGGCAGCAACGGCTCAAAGCGGCCAATGAGGCGTCTAGGTATTTATTATGTCTATGGTGGTGACAGTAGCGGCAATCCACCGGTCACTCAAATGGCCACGCCCTTAATTATGCAGCACTTTAAGGCTTAATATAATTTAAACGGATGAGTTATAAAAAAAATTCACCTCCCTCACAGTTGTCATGAAGGGCAAAATTAGCTATATAGACCAAAATAATTTTTTGAACCAGGCTGTAAACATGTTTTTTTTCTGCTGTAAAGGTAGGCATTTTAACATGGGGAGTCTATGGGATTGACTCCCTTTTGCAGCCAGCCTCTAGCGGCCAGTCGATGAATTACAGTTGAAGTCACTTCCGTGTTGGCTTCACGAGAGAGAGCGGGAGGTTGCCGCTTGTTCAAAACAAGTATTTAAAATGAACCAGTGAAGGTAAAAATGTAAAAAAAAAAAAAGTCATTTTATAAAAAAAAAAATTAGATTTTATTTTACATAAAATGACACGTTTAATTAAATTTGATATATATATATATATATATACACACAATTTAACTAAAAGTGTAATTTTATGTAAAATAAAATATGATATTTGTATAATTATTATGCATACAATTTGTATATTTTAATTTCTTTTTAATTTCTTAAATTTTTTAAATTCTGCAAATTGAGATTACGTGAAATACTTTTGCTTTTAAAAATTAAATTATTAAATTTAATTAAAGAGGAATTTATATAACCACTACCCAGTAATATTATAACATAAGTAGCTCAAAAATGTACATCAAGCTCACATTGTTTATTAGCATTATTCTGTTGTTAGTAATGTAAATACCACCAGAGCTGTCACTTGAATTCACACAACTGTTGTAAATAACCAATAACATGAACACTGTAAAATAGCGTGACTGAAAAATCAAAGTGTGTTTTTGTCTCAACAACTTCAGAAATGTGTCCGGTGAAGCAGTATAATTAACCAAACACTTTCTTAGGAGTCTGAACGGTTGGAGACGCTGAACTCGGAGCTGAAGTCTCAGATCGAGGAGCTGAAATCGGAGCGGCAGCAGCTGATCGTGATGCTCAACCTCCACCGGCCCACCTGCATCGTCCGCACAGGCAGCGTGAGGAGCCCCGGGAGCGACGAGCACGTGCTGGACCAGCGATCCGAGCAGTCCGACTGAACACCACACCACACCACAAACACACAGCTGCTGTCAGGACACCAGCACAGGAAGAAGAAGATGCAGGACATTCACTGTCAGACGAAACAGTCTGGCATTTCTTGTAAAAATAACCAACATCCTGTCAGTGTCAGTTTCAGCATGAAGAAAAAAGGGAGGAGGAGATTTGTGTGGACAACAAAGATCATCCAGAGAGCTCAAAGACGTTTGAAACGCGCTCGTTATGCTGCAGGTGTTGAGAAGCACTGGCGTCTCTCAGTTGATCTGAGCGACTCCTCCAGCGGCTGCAGATGGCGCTGTCTGATAAACTGTTCACTGACGCTGGCGTCTCGATGGACCGATTGTTTACAGTTGTTAGCACTATTTATTGTATGTACATTTGTATTGTGCCATCACGTGATATGGTGAATTGTATGTGTTTTATCTTCAGGGTGTCTGTTGAACGGCCACTTTTGTTACCAAATAATGTTTCTTTGTTACATGAAGCCACATTAATTAAAGCCTATTTTTCCAATACAATTTGACTCATTCATTCATTCATGCTTCCTTTCTTTCTTTTTTTGATTGATTTGAAAATATATATTTTTATATTATTTTTTAAAAGATTTATTATTTTATATTAGTGAAAAATATAATACAATTTTATATTATTTTAAAATATTGTGTATTTAGTTACATATTTATTTACTATTTTGATATTTTAAAATAGCCTATTCTTTAGTTTTATCTGTTAAACAATATTTGTATATTACTTTTTAGTATTATTTTAAACATTTAGAAATTATTTATTTACTTATATTTCAGAATATTTAATTATATGTTTATATTATTTTAAAATATTTGTAACATTTTTAAATATTACTTAAAAATACTTAATAATTACAATTTGACTCATTCATTCATTCATGCTTCCTTTCTTTCTTTTTTTGATTGATTTGAAAATATATATTTTTATATTATTTTTTAAAAGATTTATTATTTTATATTAGTGAAAAATATAATACAATTTTATATTATTTTAAAATATTGTGTATTTAGTTACATATTTATTTACTATTTTGATATTTTAAAATAGCCTATTCTTTAGTTTTATCTGTTAAACAATATTTGTATATTACTTTTTAGTATTATTTTAAACATTTAGAAATTATTTATTTACTTATATTTCAGAATATTTAATTATATGTTTATATTATTTTAAAATATTTGTAACATTTTTAAATATTACTTAAAAAAACTTAATAATTATTCTATATTATTTTAATATCACATTACCTTTATATTATTATATTATATTCTAATTATTTTTTTATTTTTACATTAAAATATATTTTAAATTTTACTTTAAAAGATTATTATTTAATGTTATTTTTATATTAATATAATATATTATTATTTTAATTATTTTTATTTATTATTATTTATTATTTTTTTATATGTTATGTTACTTATTTACTTAGGCTATTTATTAACTATTTTAAAATTATTTTCAAATATTATTTATTTATTTATTAGGCTTAAGCATCCCATGACCGTACAGAAGACATGAGGTTTGGAGAATGGATGGATTTGATATTTTATTTTATGATTTACCCTTTTTTACATTACAGATGTATAATATTTGCATCACTCTTAGATAACTTGATTTTTTTCCCTTTCACTTTCTTTTTTTTCAGTAAACTTTGTTTGTGGAAATGAGATGTTGTCACAGAGAAATTAACTTGAAAAAACCAGGTGATTTCCACTGAGGTTTCCATTGACTTACAGTTGTTTTCTATTGATCCTGTGGTTTTCTCCTTTCAGAATTTAGTCAATTTAATACATTTTTCCCCTATCACCCAGAAATGTATTTGGACACTTAAGACACGAATATATGACATATATAATATATTTGGATTGGTTTATCATTTGGGAAATGTTCGGCTGAAAAGCTGAACACAGTGACATTCATGCGTTGTACGTGTCGATTAGTTTGCATTTTAGGGCCGCTTTGTAATTTATAATGAAAACAGCTGAAGGCCGGCTTGAGTGGGTTGCTTGTTGTTTGTTCATTTTCTGTCTTTAGTTCTTGTTGTCACGTCAGAATTGGGTTGATCAGCTTTCTTGAGGTCTGGCTTCAGACTTTCTTGCTCTGAAAGCTGCTTTGATCAAATGTCTGGCCTTCAGCGCAGCAGCTCCAGCCTTTTAAAAATGCGTCTTTTTGGCAGAACATGTTTCTCACGTGGGCGGTTGTCAGAATCTGCTCCTCACCCTGTTTCTCCAAGAGCTTGAGGGGGAAAAAAAATGTTGGTTGGGTGCCACTGAGTCCTACCTCAAGAACTGTGAGATTTCAACAGACAGATCTGAACACAAACAGCTCATGAGAGCTAAAAACAGCACTTCTTATAGCTGAGATCAGAAATCCAGCTAATCTGATTTAACTCTCCAGAGTGTTTCACTGTTTCAGTATTCACATATTTCAGTATTTTACAATGTCCGTTTTTCAGCATGTTTCAATATTTAATTTGTTTGCATTTTATTTTTCAGTATTTATTTTTATTTAGTCATTTATTAGACGCTTTTATCCAAAGCGACTTACAAATGAGGACAACAGAAGCAATCAATTGTAGTATTAAAACAACTAAAAACAGATCCAAAACGAAGAGCTAACACTTTATAAATACTACCTATACACATTTTAAAAATAAAGAAATTAAATATAAATGACAAATGCATACAACAAAATTTCACAACTTAACATTTCAATGAAAAACAAAAAATAAAGCTAAAAACAATTCAAAATATTAAAGAACAAAAGGTATAAGAGTATAATAATGATTCTAACATAACACTAAGCCAAACACCAAAAAAACAACTACATATGTGTAGTTTATATATTATATTTATATTTATATACATATAGTATTTCAGTAGGTTATTCAGTTTTTCAATCATTTATTCTGTATGATTCTGTATTTTTTATTTTTTTTTTGGAAAATGTTCATAGCTTATCTATCCATCCATCCATCCATCCATCCATCCATCTATCTATTTATGTAGGTCAGGTTTTCAGTATTCAATTTTTTTTATTTTATCTTTCATTCCTTCAGTTGGTTATTCAGTTTTTTATTCAAATTTTCTAATTATTTTTTTTTTAAATCAGGTTATTCAGTCATTAATTTAATCTTTATGACATTGTTTTTGTATTCATCTATATTTCAGTGCTTCCTTCCTTCCTTTTTTCTTTTACATTTCTTTTTTTATTTTATTTCAGCATGTCTGTTTAAATATTCCATTTTGTGTATTTTAATTTTCATTATTTCGGTAGGTTATTATAGTATAGGTAATATTTTAGTATGTCAATATTTTTTTTTTTTTCATATTTGAGTGTCTTATTTAATTACTATATTTTGGCATGTCAGTACTTGAATATTCAATTTTTTTTATTTTAATTCAAATGTATTATTATTCCCTAATTCAATATTTAAATATGTTAATATATTTGTGTTTAGTATTTCAGTTTATTTATTTTATTTTTTTGTCTGTCTGTCTGTCTGATTGTTTTATGTCATTGTTTCAGTATTTCTGCCTTTGCATTTTATTGTTTTGTGTATTTCTGTTTTTTGTATATTTATTGTTTTGTTACTCAGTAATTGAACATTTAATATTTTTAGTTTATATTTTGCATTTGGTATTTCTTTTTTTATATTTCGCCATTAATTTATTAATAAGTATATGTATATATATATATATATATATATATATATATTCCGAGCTGGAATAGCACTGGGAATCACGGGTAAGTGCTCAGCTCTGATCTGACTGATATTCTAAAGCGTTTCTTCCTCAGCTTGATTCAGATGGTTTCTGAACACTTCTGTTCACTCATGCATGAGTTTTAAAAACAAATCAAAACTCTTGCTGCTCCGCCTGAGGAACAGTCGTTTGTGTTGTTGTCTGCCTGGATGGTGTTGATTGCTAAGTTAACACAATAGTGAAATGACCCTTACAATTCCAGTAAAAAAAAAAAAGAAACTTGAAAAATTGACCTATGACCTTCAGTACAACTTACTAAATACTGTACATCCCACACCCACAGCCTCGCTTTCAGTTGTTTCACATTAAATATACCAACTATATTATTTCGATTTATATATATATATATATATATATTTGTGTGTCTTTACATGCTAATTTTGACAGCACTAGGCCATATGCCTAGTATATACCAAGGCTACATTTACTTGATCAAAATACAGTAATATTATGAAATATTATTAAAATGTAAAATAAATTTTCTATTTGAATATAATTTCAAATGTAATTGATTTCTGTGATACAAAGCTGAATTTTCAGCATCATTACTCCAGTCTTCAGTGTCACATGATCCTTCAGAAATCATTCTAATATGCTGATTTGCTGCTCAAGAAACATTTCTCATTATTATCAATGTTAAATACAGTTGTGCTTCTTCATATTTGCTTACATTACGACTCTTTGGTGAATAGAAAGTTCGAAGAACAGCATTTATTTAAAACAGAAACATTATAAAAGTCTTTCCTGTCACTTTTGATCAATTTAACGCATCCTTGCTGAACAAAAGTATTCATTCTTTCAAAACAGAAATCTCACTGAGCCCTAATTTTTGAAGGCTAGAGTTTGTATTGCTATGCTGAGCATGCAGAATGCATCTGGAACTGATCTGATGGGAACAAGCGCTCAGATGAGCATCTGTGGATGTTGTCTGTCTAGTGATCTATCAGAATTCAGTGCAAGGCCTTGAGAAGAAGCTCTGACTGATTTGTGATGTGTGTGTGTGTGTGTGTGTGTAGGTGGAGTATCCAGTAAGCGCAGCACAATAGCAAACTATCCATTCACATCTCTGTGGCTTCTCATCTTACTCACACACGCTGCCCAGCATACGTGATGACTGCAGAAGATTAGGCGTTAAACGGCAAACAAACAAACGCATTCGGTAAAGATACAAGCGGCTTTCCCACAGATAACTGCGCATTACTGCACTAAAACCTTCAGAAAGACATGCAGCTGGTTTTCACTGCATGTTTGCGCTGCAGGCTTGAAATCACTTTGATTTTGTTTTTCAACTTTAAGGCAGCAATTAAAGAAATATTTTTCTCAGGCATGACAGTTTATCATTTAGTCATCCCCATTTTACTAATTTCTTTACTCATGAAGCACAACAGGAGTAATTGATATAAATTAAATATAAATAGTAATATTTAAAAAGAACAACCACTAAAAACGGGCAAAACATAAAATATATAAAAAAAAATACTAAAAATTTATATATTTTTTCAAAATATTCATAAAACTATAATAGTATATAAATAATAGTAAAATAACACTGCCCCAAACTTTTGAACGGTAGTGTATATCAAATTTAGTAGACTTGACTCACGTGACCTGCCAGAACTAACGCTA